TATTGCTTTTTTTTATATTTTAATTGTATTAAATATAATTGTAAATAAAATTATAAACAAAATTAGTTTAATAAATTCAATAGTTTGAATTCTAAAATAAATTCAATGTATAGTATATAATATATACAATAGTGCATTTATTTAATTAATATAATATTATTTTAATTTGACATTAACTACTTATATTAGCTATATATCAATTAATATAAAAAATAATATAAATTAATGTATATATTAATTGGCTATATAGCAATTATAATCAAAGTCGATGAAACTCAGCAAGGATTATTACTATTACTATATATCTGGTTAGTTAGTAATCGATATATATCTATATATATAACTTTCCTAATATAAGTTATGTAATAGTTGTCGAATTATGAATTAAATATGTTGAATTTTTTGACAATCTGTATTAATTGTTGAATTATGACATTAATAATAATTATCAAAATTCAACTATCAAATTTTAACAAAATTAGTTCAAAATTTGATATAAATTCAACTGTCGAATTTTAATATAATAAAATTAGTTAATAAAATTCAACTTATATTAATTCAATCTATAAAATTAAATTGATCTAATTATCAAAATTTTGTCTACATCAGTGGATTGAGAACTAGTTCTATAATATATAGTCATATAATGATCATGAAGAATTTTTACAATTAGATTAGTAGTTTGAATTCACTACCATATATTTAAAAAAAAGATAATAATAGATATTAGAGTATTAGTAAAAATAGATAACTATTGATTGAAGAAATAATTATTTTAAATTGCTTATAATATATAATTATATAATAATCATAAAGGTTCTTTATAATTGGATTATTAGATTTGAATCTGCTATAGTATATCTAAAGAAAAGAGTTAACTACTAATTAGAACTTAGCCCATTAATATTAATACAGGCTGAATGATATTTAATTTAGATCAAATAATATTTAATGCAAGCCAAATTATATGCTAATGCAGGCCAAATAATTTTATTAAAAATCTTGCGCATAACCAACTGGAATAAAATTATTATTCAAAAAAGTTTCAAAAGTCATATAATATTGTAAATTTCAAACTAACTTACTAAATTCTGAAAAATTTAGTAAAAATTAATTAGCTAAATATTTGCTAATTTGTTAAGTTCTGATAAATTAAACAAATCAGCAAATATTTAGCTAGTTAATTTTTGCTAAATTTTTTAAAATTTATGAAAACAGCTATAACATCCTTAGATTTTGCCTAGTCTATCAATATATAATCTAAAAATTTGATATTTTAAAATTGATATAACTGATTTATATAAGCAATTAATTGCTATATATATTATCATTATACAGTTACATTTTTAATAATATAGTTAATTTGTAATATATTGAATTCTGAAATTTTGTCATTACTAAAAGTATATAATATATAAAAAAAATTATTTAGAATAATCTACGAATTTGAATGATTGCTAATGGCTCACTTATGATTTTATTTTTAAATTATTATAACATTATACTTTTCTATAATAACAGTAATAACGATAGCCAAAATTTAATCTTATAGTAAGAATCATACTTATGTTATACTTTTTTATAATAACAAAAATAATGCTAGTTAAAATTAAACTTATAATAAGATTTATATTTACGAGTCTATATTATTTAATTACTAATTCTTAAATCTATTTTTTTTTAATGTATTTATAAAGCAATTGGATAAGTGTATAGTAAAACCATTTTTCCTACTAATTATAAACAAACTAAAAAAATTTGCTTGTAAATTGTACTTCGACAATGATGATTTAATTTCTGTAAAATGTAAAGACTCTAATATTTGCAAAATATATAGCTGTGAAATTTCTCCTAATCTTTTGCAATTTGTAATTTTACTTAACTGCAGGCACTTCTTTTACTAAAAATGTATTATAAATATCATTGCTGTTTTTGCAAATATAAAGACTATGAAACACCAAATCGATATAATAAAATATCAACTCTACATTATTTTGAAAAAATATTAAACATACTATTTTTTCAAGCACAAGCTGATAAATGACAAGCACAAGCCAATGAACTACAAGCATAAGCCAATAAATGACAAGCACAAGCTGATAAACAGATGCAATTCAATGAACTACAAGCACAAGATGATAATGAACAAAAGCAAATTAATAAACAAGCACAAGTCAATAAACTACAAGCACAAGTGTGTAGGCAAGCACAAAGCAGGCAAGCACAAAGTGGGTAAGCACAAAGCAGGCAAGCACAAGGTTAGCAAACACAAGGTAAGCAAGTGCATGGTAGGCAAGTACAAAGTAGGCAAGCACAAGATAGGCAAGCACAAAGTGGACAAGCAAATAGTGAACAAGAACAAAGTGGGCAAATAAATGGTGAGCAAGCACAAGGTGAGCAAGCACATAGTGGACAAGCACAAGTCAATGAACAAACTAATGAACAGGTTAGCATTATTAAAATTTATTATATAGTGTTATATAATATTCA